AAATGCAACGTCCTCTTATGAGGACACAGGGTCTCAGGAGGTTAAGGCAGTTTTAGAAATCTGGAAAAAACAAGCAAACACTTACTTGGCCTCTCGATGATAATCGAGAGATTATAATCAGGAGATAATAAAGCTGTATAGCTCCTGGTAAAACAATAGAGTCACTATTGACTCTTTTTTTTAATTGAAAGAAAGAAAAAAAACGAAAAACTAATTGATTTGACACAAATTATTTTATGTAAAAAATGGGAATTCTGGCTTTGTGAGACAGACGTTTCTTCCATGTATTAACCTCCTGAGACCCTGCGTCCTCATAAGAGGACATAGCATTTTTGCCTCTCTTTACCATGATACTTCTTTTTTCTTTCAACTTTGACCTCTTGGCCTCATAGCAGACGCTATCAGACACTCTAAAGTAAAATGGGTGCGATACATTTTCAACCAATAATGTTCTTATTGCGTACTTAAAAAATTGTTAATAAGTCATTTGGACTGTCAGAACAAAATTCCAATAACATTTAATTAGATACATAAACTAGCATTTTAAATATAAAGATAAACCCACTGAGCCTATACGAAGCACAACTACCTGTACCATGACAAATTTTAGTTATTAAACTTAGTAGGTTGTACTAATCCCATATATCTTTAAAAAAGCAAAAATGCACACCAATTAAAATCTGGGGTCTCAGGACTGTGTAACCGAAAAAAAAGGCTGATTACGGTGGGGTTAATGATAACCGGTTGTGTGGCTGGATGTGTGTCTAAGTGCGACCTGCCCGGGCGAGTTGTGTCAGCAGAGAGCGTTGACGGATTTAGCCGGGCCCACGGCTTCATCACCTGGATGGAGACCTCGGTCAAAGAGAACAGGAACGTCCAGGAGGCGATGAGGTGAGAGAGGGAGTTTATCCGGGGAATGTCGGACTTCCGGCTGAAAGCATCACAGAACAGCTGCACGCTAATGGGAGAGCTAGCCCACCTGTGAGTGATCCTTGGGTTAACTGTAGGATCCCTTAGGTCCAGTTTTGGAGCATCAGCACAGAACAGAGAGAGGATCCAAACAGCTACACAATCACAGACATGTGATCAACAAACAACAGAATCTAAAACTACGACTATGTTTCAACACAGAGGCACTTAAAAGATAGGACTGAATTATAGGGATGTGACAAAAAAACAATTTTAATTGTTAAAATGAGAAAAAAATAACCTAAATGAATAATAAATAAATAAATAAATAAATAAAAGTAAACAAATACATAAAAAATAAAACAAATAAAGAAATAAATTTAAAAAATTCAATTTAAAATAAAAATAAATAAATGAATAAAAATAGATATAAAAGAAATACATATATATATAATAAAAATAAAAATAAATCAATAAATACATTTTTAAATGACTATTTAAACACAAGGGAAGGGACCCCCAGGTGAACACAATTGGTGATAAGGGAAGACAAGCAGACATGTGACACACAGGGGAGTGCAAGAGACCTGAAACAAGGGGAAGTACCTTTCAAAATAAAACAGGAAATGACAAAACAACCACGGAGACAGGACAAAACACCAAAAAATCCCCCAGACGTGACAAATCCGATCGACTAGTGTGTTGTCAGACATTTCTTTTACGTTAAACGTGCTGCCCTGAAACAGTTTGGGCCGATAAACCAAAACTAACGATGCCAAACTTGATGCGTTTCAGGAGGCTGGTGCAGGAGATCCTGTCGGCTCAGTCCAGTCTGGACACTCAGGAGCCCCGGTGGGAGGACGGAGTGGACTGTCGGCGGGACTCGGAGCTCAACAACAGCTCTGGAGGCAGCTGCTGCTGAAAGCAAACAGATCATTTCGTTTTGTTTTTTTTGTTTTTTTCTCGTTAGCGCTTATTCCTTAATGGGGTCGCGGGGAGAACTGGAGCCTATCCCAGTGGTCAATGGTGAGAGGCAGGGTACACCCTGGACAGTCCACCAGTCCATCACAGGGACACCCAGAAACACACAAGGACCAACAACCACACACACTCACATTCACTCCTAGGGATAATTTGGAATATCCAATCATGCTAACATGCAGGTTTTTGGACGGTGGGAGGAAGCCGGAGAACCC